TATATATATATATATATTTATTAAGATATATTTTTAAATATACTGAATATGACCAAAATTGTAGCATTTCAAATATGTCAATATATTTGGGAAGAATTTTTTAAAAATATATTTTTCTTCCATATGGGACTGAATACCCTTGTCCAGAGATTCCTCCAGACAGCTGGATAGAGAACTATCTGGGGTTTGGGGTAGTAGACCAGGAGAGGCTGGAGAGCTCTCAAAGAAAAGAAACCCTTCCATGGACTTGTACGTAGTTGCTAAAGAGTTTGTCCTTGGTTCACTGTTCCTTGGGCATCCCTTACCCCACCCAAGTTTAATACCCCTAATAAAACAAAAAAAAAAAACAAGCTCAAGGACTGTTTACTGTCTCCAGAACATAAGTCTGAGAAAATGTGCGTTGCTTGGCCGTGCAGAGGGACCCAAAATGTCAGAGACTCCTAAGGGGGTAGTGTTTATACCCATGTGGAAAAAAAAAATATATTTTAAATATATTTTAAAAATATACTTCCCAAATATATACCATATATTTTGTAATGCTACAATTTTGGCCATATTTCAATAAATACATTTATATAAAATACACATACATATATACACATACACATATATATATATATATATATATATAACACACACACACACATATATATATATATATATATATATATATATATATATATAATATATATATTACACACACACACACACACACACACACACACACACATATATATATATATATATATATATATATACACATATATATATACACACACACACACACACACACATATATACATACTGCATGTAGAAATGCGTTTTTATTACAAAATATATGAAAAATATTTTTAAAAATACATTTCAAATATACTGTAGGTCTGAAAAAAATAAGTCCACGTTTTTTAAATGCATTTACAAATATATGTAAAAATATATCTTATTTTTAAAAATATATATTTTTTTAAATATATTATGCAGATTTATTTTTAACATATAAAAAGTAATTTAACACCTATAATTATAACATACAATACATAATATAATATAAATATAATAATTTATTTTTTATATATACAGGTGAAACTCGAAAAATTAGAATATCGTGCAAAAGTTCATTTATTTCAGTGCAGCAACTTAAAAGGTGAAACTAATATATGAGATAGACTCATTAAGATAGTTCAAGCCGTGATTTGTCATCATTGTGATGATTATGGTTTACAGCTCATGAAAACCCCAAATCCACAATCTCAGAAAATGAGAATATTACATGCAATCAATAAAACAAGGATTGTACATAGAACAATATCGGACCTCTGAAAAGTAGAAGCATGCATATGTACTCAGTACTTGGTTTGGACCCCTTTTGCAGCAATTACTGCCTCAATGAGGCGTGGCATGGAAGCTGTCAGCCTGTGGCACTGCTGAGGTGTTATGGAAGACCAGGATGCTTCAATAGCGGCCTTCAGCTCTTCTGCATTGTTCGGTCTCACGCCTCTCATCTTTCTCTTGGCAATGCCCCATAGATTCTCTATGGGGTTCAGGTCAAGCGAGTTTGCTGGCCAATCAAGCACAGTAATCCCACGGTCATTGAACCAGGTTTTGGTGCTTTTGGCAGTGTGGGAGGTGCCAAGTCCTGCTGGAAAATGAAGTCAGCATCCCCATAAAGCTTGTCTGCGGAAGGAAGCATGAAGTGCTCCAAAATCTCCTGGTTGACGGCTGCGTTGACCCTGGACTTAATGAAGCACAGTGGACCAACATCAGCAATGACATGGCTCCCCAAATCAACACAGACTGTGGAAACTTCACACTGGACTTCAAGCATCTTGCAGTGTGTGCCTCTCCATTCTTCCTCCATACTCTGGGTCCTTGGGCCTCTCCATTCTTCCTCCATACTCGGGGTCCTTGGGCCTCTCCATTCTTCCTCCATACTTGGGGTCCTTGGGCCTCTCCATTCTTCCTCCATACTCGGGGTCCTTGGGCCTCTCCATTCTTCCTCCATACTCGGGGTCCTTGGGCCTCTCCATTCTTCCTCCATACTTGGGGTCCTTGGGCCTCTCCATTCTTCCTCCATACTCTGGGTCCTTGGGCCTCTCCATTCTTTCTCCATACTCGGGGTCCTTGGGCCTCTCCATTCTTCCTCCATACTCGGGGTCTTTGGGCCTCTCCATTCTTCCTCCATACTCTGGGTCCTTGGGCCTCTCCATTCTTCCTCCATACTCTGGGTCCTTGGGCCTCTCCATTCTTCCTCCATACTCGGGGTCCTTGGGCCTCTCCATTCTTCCTCCATACTCGGGGTCCTTGGGCCTCTCCATTCTTCCTCCATACTCGGGGTCCTTGGTTTCCAAATGACATGCAAAAGTTGCTCTCATCAGAAAAGAGGACTTTGGATCACTGAGCAACAGACCAGGTCTATTTTCTATTGCACCTTTTCACAATATTCTCATTTTCTGAGATTGTGGATTTTGGGGTTTTCATGAGCTGTAAGCCATAATCATCACAATGATGACAAATCACGGCTTGAACTATCTTGCTTTGCATGTAATGAGTCTATCTCATATATTAGTTTCACCTTTTAAGTTGCATTACTGAAATAAATGAACTTTTGCACAATATTCAAATTTTTCGAGTTTCACCTGTATGTGTGTATGTGTATGTGTATATATATATATATATATATATATATATATATATATATATATATATAATTTATTGAAATATATTTTGAAATATATTGAATACGGCCAAAATTGTAGCATTTCAAATATTTGGCAATATATTTCAAATTTTTCTTCCATGTGTAGCCAAAAATCTATCTGTGTATGGTCAGCTTAAGATTTGCTTTAAACCATCTATTTTGGTTGATGAAAACGAAAAAAAATGACTTACGGTGCTGCTGAGGACAGGGGTCTTAGAGATCCGCTTCTTCACCAAATCCATCACCTGCAAGGATAAAATAGGTTTTCTATGATTATTATTCAATAGGTTTGCTTTTATGTTTGCTTTTAAGTCATGCATGACTAGCCTCACTCGTCTACTTCTGGAACTTGGTTGTATTGTTACATCTTCACAATATATATATATTAAGGTGTATGTGAAGACACAAACTTTTTTTTCCCCCAACTTTGGATGCAGTGGGGAAAGCTTAACCCCTTGGCACCGGTGCTTCCCACAGGTTTCAGAAGGCAGGAGGCGAGGCAGGGTTTTAGGGCAATGTGACCGCCGTGATTCGCCGTCACATGATCAGGAATTCAATCTTGCAATGTTTCATGAGACTTGTAGATTGGCAACAGCTGGAGGGCCGATCTACAAGTCCCATGAAGCATTGCAAGATTGACAGTTACAAGCATAACTCCCGAAGGCAGAGGCATGATGGGACTTGTAGTTTGGAAACAGCTGGAGGGCTGCCAGTTTGACACCCCTGGGTTAGACTGTCGGACGTGACAGATAGCAGAGGGAAGAGCGATCAGAGAGGAAACAGGCAAGGCGCTTTGGATTGAGGCTAGTACACACTATAGAAGGATATGCTTTATTCATTTTTTTCATTTCAGAGTTTTACAACCACTTTAGGGATTTGACTTAATGTTGGCAATCTGAGAGGGATACGCCACCCAAATTCAAGATTTGGCCAATCCATGCATGTATGATTATCACAAAATGTGGGGTCACCTACCCTTTTATCCAGCAGGCAGCCGAAGGTAAAAATGAAAAACCCCTATGAAAGTAGAGGAAAAGGTTGTTAAAAAAATTATGCATCTGCACTTCAACCCTATGACTCTTTATTACAAGTACATATATAGTGCTGTCAGTTTACATATATATTCTACATTCACATCAGTCCCTAACCCTCAAGGGGTGTACAATCTATGGTCCCTAACTCACATTCATACACATACTAGGGCCAATTTACCCATCTGCTTGTCTTTTTGGAGTGTGGGAGGAATCCAGAGTACCTAGAGGAAAGTCACACATGCACAGGGAGAACATGCAAACTCCAGGCAGGTGGTGCCATGGCTGGGATTTGAACCAACACCCCTAGTACTGTCAGGCAGAAGTGCTAACCATTTAGCCACTAGTGTCCTCGTCTTACTTTATCTCCAGAAGGTGGTTGAATGATTTGTCCATCCAGCGCCATCATTTAATTCCTGAATTAAAATCCTGCCCCTGTTTGATACAGTACATTTTTCCTCACCCCTCTTGGTCTCCCTCTTGCATATCACTTTGTGACCAATTCATGTAAAAACCCTCAAACATTTTATTCCCTGTACTTCTTTATTCTCTGTGACCAGATGTGTGCCCTCCACTGGCCAAAATGGTCCAAATTCATCACTAAGCACCAACGTAATTTTTTTTTTCACATTGACATTTTAAGGGTCACCAACGTAAAAGAACCTTCATTAAGGGCAACTACTCTGTAGGCCATGCTGTTTATTACATGATCTAAACCACTGTGCATTGTATGCTGTATGCAACATACTCTACACCAGTGTTTCTTAACGTTTCTTCAGTCAGGCACCCTCTAAAATTATGGACAATACTGAGGCACCCTCTAAAATTATGGACAGTCTTGAGGCACCCTCTAAAATTATGGACAGTACTGAGGCACCCTCTAAAATTATGGACAGTACTGAGGCACCCTCTAAAATTATGGACAGTCTTGAGGCACTCTTTAAATTATGGACAGTCTTGAGGCACCCTTTCAATTATGGAGAGCCTTGAGGCACCCTTTAAATTATGGACAGTGTTGAGGCACCGTCTAAAATTATGGACATTCTTGAGGCACCCTTTAAATTATGGACAGCCTTGAGGCACCCTTTAAATTATGGACAGTGTTGAGGCACCCTCTAAAATTATGGACATTCTTGAGGCACCCTTTAAATTATGGACAGTCTTGAGGTACCCTCTAAAATTATGGACATTCTTGAGGCACCTTTAAATTAAGGACAGTCTTGAGGCACCCTTTAAATTAAGAACAGTCTTGAGGCACCATCTAAAATTATGGACAGTCCCAAGGCACCCTCTAAAATTATGGACAGTCCCAAGGCACCCTTTAAATTATGGAAAGTCTTGAGGCACCATCTAAAATTATGGACAGTCCCAAGGCACCCTCTAAAATTATGGACAGTCTTAAGGCACCGTGTAAAATTATGGATAGTCTTGAGGCACCCTGTAAAATTATGGACAGTCTTGAGGCACCCTCTAAAATTATGGACAGTCTTGAGGCACCCTGTAAAATTATGGACAGTCTCGAGGCACCCTGTAAAATTATGGACAGTCTTGAGGCACCCTCTAAAATTACAGACAGTCTCGAGGCACCCTCTAAAATTGTGGACAGTCTCGAGGCACCCTGTAAAATTATGGACAGTCTTGAGGCACCCTCTAAAATTATGGACAGTCTTAAGGCACCCTGTAAAATTATGGACAGTCTCGAGGCACCCTCTAAAATTATGACAGACACCCTCTAAAATTATGTCTCGAGGCAGCCTTTAAATTATGTACAGTCTTGAGACACCCTCTAAAATTATGGACAGTCTTGAGGCACCCTTTAAAATTACAGACAGTCCTGAGGCACCCTTTAAATTACGGACAGTCTTGAGGCACCCTTTAAAATTACAGACAGTCTTGAGGCACCCTTTAAAATTACAGACAGTCCCGAGGCATCCTCTAAAATTATGGACAGTCTTGAGGCACCCTCTAAAGTTATGGACAGTCTTGTGGCACCCTCTAAAATTTTGAACAGTCTTAAGGCACCCCATTCTAAAATGTAAAAGGCTATTCTAATAGTTTTATATAATGCAGCAACATCTACCCACCCAACACTAGAGGTGATTTATTCGTCCAAAGCAAATACACTTTTGCACACTGGTACTGACTAGTATTCCGATGTTTCTCTTCTCCCGTCAGTTTTTCTCCATTGGTCAGCTAATGTGACTCCAGCACAGACGGAGAAGGGCAGGGAAGGGTCAAACTAGGATACTGTGCAGACAAACAACATCCTTCTTCTAAGGGCTTTTATTCTCAGATAAATAGGTGCAGGAACTCCCTGCCCTCTGAGCCACATCTCGTCTCCCCCCACCCACCTCTGAGGACCATCCACTGGTTCCACTCTCTATCCATATCCCATCACAGCCCTTTTTAAAGAGTATAGAACCAAGAATTATTTTGTGGTGCTAAGTAAGTTGTATGGAAATTACAAGAAAAGTAATAAAATAGATACCCCACAGCCAGCAACAATAGACTCTCCCCAAGCAACAATGGACCCCCACAACAAAATACCACCCCAGCAACAATAGACCCTCAGCAGCGACAATAGATCTTACAGCAGCCAGCATTAATGTGGCCAGCAACCCTCCTTCAACAGTAGATCCCTTCCAGCAACAATTGACCCCAGCAACATAGGCCCTCCCCCAAGCAGCAATAGACCTCCCAAGCAAAAATAGACTGCCACATAAAAATAGATCCCACCAAGCAACAATAGATGCCCCAGAAGCCAGCATCAATAGACCCTTCAGCACACCCCAGCACTCCTTGCCGTTATTGTACATACATTAATTGCTGGAGGTGCCAGAACTGCGTTCCCCTACATTCCAGCTGAAAAAAAAGCCCTGCTTCTTACTGATGATGTCACTGGTTGTCAGGACGCTGGCAGCTGGTAGGTTATAAAAGTTCACAATGAAAACCTGTGGCTTTGTGTACCTTCAAAAAACTCCACTCTCTTGGCTTCCGAGACTCTGCTCTCTCCTAGTTCTCCTCCTACCTATCGCAGCGCTCCTTCAGCGTTACCTATAACTCTGGCTCCTCCTCTTCACTCCCTCTTTCTGTAGGGGTCCCTCAAGGTTCTGTCCTTGGACCCCTTCTCTTCTCCATCTACACCTCCTCCCTTGGTCACTTGATAAACTCCCATGGCTTTAAGTACCATCTCTATGCTGATGACACACAAATCTATCTTTCTACTCCTCACCTCACCCCTTCAGTCTCCTCCTCATCTCACCCCTTCAGTCTCCTCTCGCATTACTAACCTACTAAGTGACATATCAGCATGGATGACACTCCACTTCTTCAAACTCAATCTTTCCAAAACTGAGCTCTTAGTATTCCCCCCAGCCTGTGCCTCCTCCCCTGACTTCTCCATCAAGATCAATAATACAGCCATCAGTCCCTCCCCTCATGCCAGGGTACTAGGTGTAATCCTAGACTCCCATCTGTCCTTTCAGCCCCAAATCCAATCGCTGTCCAAATCTTGTAGACTTCACCTCCGCAACATCTCCAAGATACACCCGTTCCTAACCTCTGAAACTACTAAGAAACGTATTCACTCCCTGGTTATCTCTCGCCTTGACTACTGTAACTCCCTCCTCATTGGCCTACCTCATCGCAGGCTATCCCCTCTTCAGTCTATCATGAATGCTGCTGCCAGACTCATTCACCTTACTAACCGTTCTGTATCCGCCACCCCTCTCTGCCAATCCCTCCACTGGCTTCCCATTGCCCAACAGATAAAATTCAAAACATTAACAATAACATATAAAGCCATTTATAACTCAGCCCCAAATTACATCACCAATCTTTTCTCCAAATACCACCCAAACCGTACTCTCCGCTCTTCACACGACCTCCTGCTCTCTAGCTTCCTTGTCTCCTCCTCCCATGCTCGTCTCCAGGAATTCTCCAGAGCCTCCCCCATCCTTTGGTGCGCTCTACCCCAATCTATCCGACTATCGCCTACTCTGCTCACTTTTAGGCGATCTCTGAAAACCTCTCTCTTCAGGGAATCCTATCCTGCCTTCAGCTAATAATGGAATCTTCTATTCCTCCTACCAGTTCATCCCCCACAGTTATTACCTTTTGTACCACTAGCCCCTCCCTCTTAGATTGTAAGCTCCAAGGAGCAGGGCCCTCCTATCCCTCTTGTATTGATCTGTATTGTTGCTGTATTGTCTCCCGTTATATTGTAAAGCGCTGAGCAAAGTGTTGGCGCTATATAAATTCTGTATAATAATAATACCTATAGGGTAGGCTTGTTCCACCCCCTGGCTTGTATACAAGTTTTGGGCAATTTTTAAACATTTTGCCAAGGCACCCCTGAAGAAGCCTCAAGGCACCCCAGGGTGCCTGGGCACCCTGGTTGAAAAAGGCTGCTCTACACAGCTGCATCAGACATTTTCTGAGCTGCCACACCCTGTACACCCCTGGTGCCAAACCTTTGGCCTTTTGGCACTTTTTGTGTGGCCCTCTGGGCCCCTGCAGACACTAATCTGTGTTTCTCTTTTGTCATGTTATTGTAGTGATTTCTAGCAGCCTCATGTAATATGTTTCCAGTCTATGACTCTCTTCTGAGGTATGTCTCCAGCAACTCCTATAGCATGTTCACAGTCTCTGACAGTCTCTTGCAGCATGTCCGTAGTCTCTGACCATCTCTTGTATCATTTCCACAGTCTCTGACCATCTCTTGTATCATATCCAGTCTCTGACCATCTCTTGTATCATATCTGAAATCTCTTATCTACTGTATTATGTCTGCAGTCTCTGACCATCTCTTATATCATGTCCATAGTCTCTGATTATGTCCTATTGTGTGTATGCCGTTTCTGATAAGGAATATTCACTGATATTTTGTGTGGCCGGTGCAGCGTGGTCAGGTTGCAGCAAAACTTGAAACTTGTATTAGACAGAATACCAACGTTACAGACACCCTGGTGGGAGAACATCACTACGAAATAACTCACAGTTCAATGTAGTCAGAAGTGTAGGAGGAGAGGTGCCGACAGCATCTGTTTTAGAGGGTGAAGCGTGGCCTGGCTGGTCTGTTCCCAAGGGGGAAGCTCCTTTCCAGGATAGCGAGCCCCTAATCTTTGTTTCCTGGCCAGGAACCTTTCCCTTGCTAGCTATCTACATAACAATCACAGTTTCTCTCCCTACGCTAGTCACGCAGTAGAAGATGCCAAAACCCAGGCGAAAAGACTTATATAGACCCTGTTGACCCAAGATGGCCAGCAAGGGTTACATGGGTGCGGCATAGCCAACTGCAACGCTGCTCCATTGACCCTGGAAACCTTAGAGAAACTTGACGACCGCTGCTGAACACCATGCTGTACATAAAATCTCTTCTCTACTTTTTTTCTGTACACCTTGATGCACATTACACAACCTGGACCACCACAGTCTGCACATGCTGCTGAACACCATATGCTAAAGACTGCTATACGATGTAGACCGCAGCTATACACAGCGGACCACAGTGCTCAGTATATTTGCCACTTCACAATGAAGGCGTGTTGGTTGTAGGTGGGGGGGAGAGGGGTGGCACAAGGTAACAGGAAAATTGTATAACTCCAGCCCTGTCATCGTAAAGATCATTGTCCCTCGCTGTTATCATATGGGTCCTATGTCATCGTATGAGGCATTGTCCCTCTCTGCCATCAAATGGGTCATTGCCCCACCATGTCATCATATGGATCATCGTCCCTCTCTGTCATCGAAAGTGTCTTTGTCCCCCTAGGTCATCATATGGGTTATTGTTCCTTTCTGTCATCATATGGGTCATCATCCTTCTCGGTCATCATAAGGGTCATTGTTCCGCTCTGTCATCGTATGAGTCTTTGTCCCTCTAGGTTATCATATGGTTTATTGTTCTTTTCTGTCATCATATGGGTCATCATCCTTCTCAGTCATCATAAGGGTCATTGCCCCACCATGTCAGCATATGGATCATCGTCCCTCTCTGTCATTGAATGTGTCATTGTTCCGCTCTGTCATCATATGGGTCATTGTCCCTCTAGGTCATCATATGGGTTATTCTTCCTTTCTATCATCATATGGGTCATCATCCTTCTCGGTCATCATAAGGGTCATTGTCCCTCCATGTCATTGTATAGGTCATTGTCCATCTGGATCATCATATGGGTTCATAACCCTCCATGTCATCATACGGGTCATTGTCACTCTAGGTCATCATATGGATTATTGTACCTTTCTGTCATCATATGGGTCATCATCCTTCTTGGTCATCATAAGTGTCATTGTCCCTCCATGTCATCATATGGGTCATTGTCCCTCTGGATCATCATATGGGTTCATAACCCTCCATTTCATCATATGGGTCATTGTCACTTTAGGTCATCATATGGGTTATTGTTCCTTCCTGTCATCATATGGGTCATTATCCTTCTTGGTCATCATAAGGGTCATTGTCCCTCCATGTCATTGTAGAGTCATTGTCCATCTGGATCATCATATGGGTTCATAACCATCCATGTCATCATATGGGTCATTGTCACTCTAGGTCATCATATGGGTTATAGTTCCTTTCTATCATATGGGTCATCATCCTTCTCGGTCATTATAAGTGTCATTGTCCCTCCATGTCATCATATGGGTCATTGTCCCTCTGGATCATCATATCGGTCCATAACCCTCCATTTCATCATATGGGTCATTGTCACTCTAGGTCATCATATGGGTTATTGTTCCTTTCTGTCATCATATGGGTCATCATCCTTCTCAATCATGATATGGGTCATTGTCCCTCCATGTCATCGTATGGGTCATTGTCCTTTTCTGTCATTATATTTGTCACCAAAATTCTCCTCAAAAACCCTGTAGACCAGGATCAGCCCTTCCAGGACTGACACAGATGTATTTTCACTTTCATAGCCAG